CGGTGTGTGACTCGAGTAACCATCGTGTGTGCGTGTTTGATCGCGAAGGCAAGTTTTTGCGCCAGTTCGGCGGCTACGGTACCGGCCGTGGTCAGCTCGACTCGGCGGCCGGCATCGCCATGTTCAAGCAGAAGCTGGTCGTATCCGATAGATACAACCATCGCGTTTGTATCTTTGATCTGGACGGCAACTATTTGAGCTCTTTTGGCGGTCATGGCCAGTCTAATGGAAAGTTCAACAACCCTTGGGGAGTTGCTGTTGATGAGCTAGGCACTATATATGTGGCTGACAAGGTGAGACTTTCCTGCCATATATAGATTAGTCGCGACCTAGTATTTGATATGGTGGCCTTGCGGTGGCGACAACACTTGCGCGAAAACGTATAACATGGTTTATTTCTGCAGGCAATTCGCTTGCGCCCTGGCGTGCGTTGCCATTATTTACGCGCAAATGTTGTCACCGACGCAAGAACACTATACAACGCCAAGTCGACGTTTATGTTGAGCGTAGTAAGATACGAAATATAGCAAGTATTTTCTTAAGGATAATCATCGGGTACAAATGTTTGATAAAAATGGATTGTTTGTGGGAAAGTTTGGAACTAGCGGCCATGGGCCAGGACAACTTCAGAATCCTTTGTTTATTGCTGTCAATAGATTTAATCATCAGGTGAGTCTTGGTCACAATGGGTTTCACGTAGTTATAGCTGACGTCGTGGTTATAAATAGTTAGTGTCTAATTAAGTAGAAATCTATATAGGTTTATGTGTCTGATTCTGCAAACCATCGAATTTCTGTATTTGATGTACAAGGAACATATTTGTTCTCATTTGGAAGTGAAGGCTTCCATGGGGGACAGTTTAAATTCCCTCGTGGGGTTGCTATAGATTCGCAGGTGAGTAAGGAACTCTACTGCTTAAAATTGCTCTGGAACAGTCTCATTTAGGGAAATGTTCTCGTGGCAGACTCAGGCAACAATCGAATCCAGGTAAAGATGCACAAGTAATAATTTCATTAATTTTGATTTTACAAAATTTTCTAGGT